GCGCTGCTGGAGCTGAAGCTCGGGCTCAGGGCAGCCAAGCGGCGAAGCCAGGCCAGCTCTTTTCCATATAGGAAAGAGCTCGGGCCCAGAAGCATCCGGTGAAACAGGCCAGCTCTTTTCCATATAGGAAAGAACACAGATGCTGGCGGCAGCGTTGCTAGAGCTGAAGCTCGTGGGCTGCTGCTAGCGCCGAGAGGCGAGGTGCTAGCACGTGCGGTCATGCAGGGAGCAGGGCGATGCTGAGGGCAGCACCATAGCCCAGCCTCCATAACTGGCGGGCTTGGATGTACAGTGCGGCGCAGGGGTGGTCTTCGGGTGTTCAACAAGGGAAGACGTGGGAGAGAGTCAGGGGAGAGAGAGAAGGATGATGATGATGATGATGATGTGAGGGCACATACCTGGTATTGGCGATGGTTTTGCATGGGCGACATCTTCAAGTACTTCGGAGGCTGCTGACGTCAAAAGTTGCATTGTGAATTAGTAGGCTAGTAGTAGCTGTGTAGGGAGTAGGCTGGGCGTCGAGCACCAAGTAGGGAGATAGGGACTGGATACATATGTTGGTGGTGGCGAGAGCAAGCTCTCATTGACATTGGCTTTCAGTGCAACTATTCTCCATTGGTGTCATATTGGTGCAAGGCTACTTTCTGAACACTGTGATACGATCTGGCTTTCAATGTGATTGTGCAATCTGAATATTGTCATCTCGCTTCTGTTCATTCCTTGCAATTTGGTATCGGTGTTGGTTCGAACTGCGCTCATTGGTTCTTCGCAATAGCTGTTCGGTGCTTCGCATGAGGTGTGGGGCAGTGATAAGGCTTGGGCGTTGAACGGTAGGCGGCCCAGGGTCGTGTGGGCGCGCCAGAAAGCTATGTGGTGACATTAGGGTTGTGCGTTGGATGATGAGAGCTCGCTGATGTGGCATTTAAGCCGAGGTGGAACTGCATTCTGCAGTTGGTTGCGCCGAGGCAAAGACTGGTCATCATAAATGCACATCAGGTTGCCAGTGAGAAATCTGTGGTTGGGGGCAGCATTATGGTACGTTGCTTCCTCCCTTATCTACCCTCTTCATTGCTTCTTAGTGTAGGAAGTGAGTTCTGTCTTGAGAGTCCTCTCAATGTGAGGTGTCGCAAGAGCTCAACCTTGAGAGTCAAACATTCTTCCTGGGCAGCAAGATGGTGGGAGACGGGCGATGCCGTTGAAGGGCCTGGACGAAGCACTCGCGTCACAGTCACCATGCCAACCCGCTGGGACTAGTACACGAATGCTTTGCAAGTCCTTGGTTCTGCTGTTGCGCAATAGAGGTCATGCAAGGCATGCCAGCCCTTTGAACAAACGCTTACTAGACCGTCTCTAAATATTTAGGGCGGGGACTCGGTGTTGATTCTGGTTGTGATCGTCGTCCTGTCTGAGACATTAAATAATTCCTGTGGAGTTACAGAGGATCTCCTTAAATGCCTCCTAATCAGCCAGATCAAACCGGGTGTACGGCTCGTTGCATGCGAGGATAAATAATGTGCAGGGGCTGGCAGGTTCGGCGTTGACTTGGGGCACAGGGGTGGCCGGATTGCAGACCTTTAGACACACTGCTCAACCAAATGCCTAGGAACGTCGACACAAAGTGACTACTCAAGAGGGATACAGGGAAAGGATTGGATTTCGGTAACTGTTCGTGGTGGCATTAGTCAGATAAACTGCCATCGAGCATACATCTCTGCAGGGAGCATTTTTTTTGTTTTTTGATTATTTAGTTGTTATGGACTTGACTAACAACTGACGGACAACTGTAGATAGAGTAGTATATTCTTTGCCGCATTGCAATCTGTAATAGAGTAAGACAATTGTAGATAGAGTAGTATATTATTTGTTGCATTACAATTTGTAGTAGAGTAATCTAAAAATAGATTTAATATTCCCTGTAGGATCAGACACTGGGGGACACCTAACCACCTAACTGTTTACGTCCAGGCCGATCGAAGTTAGTTGTGTATCATAATCGGTTGTGTGTCATGCTGAGGTAGGATTCGGTGTGGATTCTAGTTTAGATTACACACATTGTAGCTCATGAGTGATGCAAGTACTAGTGAGAAGTTGTTAGTGGACGATCGTAGGACTACTCGTAGAACTGGTCTCAGTCGACCTTGACTTTCCTAGAGTTAGGTCCAGGAGACGAGAGGAGACTGCGGAGAGAGGCTAGAGAGAGAACATCGGCAAGAAGAGCGGGGGATTACAACTAGCACCGGTACGACCATGGCTACTTCCTCTACCATGTCGCAGACCTTCCACTTCGTCAGGAGTCAGTCAAAGTGGTTCTCGGGTTTCCATTAGCCAGAGTGCTGGCTTGCGAGTCAGCCAGCAAGCTCAACTCACGCCGGAGGATTGTGAGATCCTCCAAGCTGAAGAACTTCAGGATGAGTTGTAGCGGCAGTTGGATGAAGCAGCTGAGAGAAGAAGAAGAGCAATAATGAGAAAAGCTAGACTAGGTAGTAGATTGCAGGAACTAGGCAAGCTGGAAGCACTAGATGAGTCAGATCCCGCTATGCAAGCACTGCGGAATTCGCTCCCGTGTGTGGCGGAGACCCGGTTTGTTCAGCAGGAAGCGTTGGCTGAACTAGTGGCTGGCCAGAAATGAATTCTGGTTGCATTACAGGCTCCTCGTCCAGTGATGAGGCAGCCTCAGTTTGCTGTAGCTCCCCCTTCGGTTGCGGGTCCATCAGTGACGTCGTCGCCGGTAGGGCCTTCATTCTCAGCTGTGTTTGGCATGCCCCCTCCAGGTGATTATGTGGCGACTAGTGGACCAGTCCTTAGAGTCTCAGCCGTACCATCGACGAAAGTGGTTACTACAGTCCCACTTTCAAGCCAGGCCCAGGTTAGTGCGCATCAACCTGTTTCGGTGGCTATGCAACCACTGCAGCAATCCCCTAGGCCAATGCAGCCTATGCAGTGGATGCCCAAAATACCCTTGCTAAGTCCTAAGCCTTTCTCTGACGACGGGAAGGAGGATGAGGACTTGGATACCTGGGTGAGGACGGTGCCCACCTATGTGAGGCAAAAACTTACCAGGTCGGAGCAAGAAGTTGTGGTAGCTGCCTCCTTTCTAGAGGGGTCAGCAACTCGTTGGTTGAATGGCCTAGTGCAGCAACAGGGCTATGGTTAGAACTTCGATGCCTGGGCCCAGGCTCAAACATTGGAAGAGTTCGTACGGTCCATGTACAATAGGTGGCATGACGCTCAAGGGGCCCAAAAGGCCACAGATGCGATCAACAGTCTTTGTGCCAGAAGGTACAAGAATGTTGGAGCGCTCATGGATACCGTAGAACGTCTGCTCGTGGTACCCGGTGTGCGCTATGACCAGTAGGTGCTCCTTATGGATTACCTTAGATGTCTATCTTTAGAGGTTAGGACAAAGTTGGTAGATGAGGCATGTCGAACAACACAACTTCGCCTCCTTCAGCAAGAAGGCCTTAGATATAGAGGCAAAACTGGGGTCCACATTGAAGTCAGAGAGATGGTAGGAAGAAGAGACTACCCCAGGACTGCAGGAAGAAAGGTCAACTAATGTTCGTCGACCACGATGGTCAGGCGACAAAAATTAACGACTTCCCAGATCTTGGGGAGGAGACAGAGCACGATGGGGCCAGCGAGACTTCGGATGGGGGAGTGGTGGCACCCATCAAAGAAAACGCTAGGGCGATCGGGAAGAAGAAGGTAGGCCGGTCTACGGGTAAGGGCGACCAAGGAACACCCGCATGGGTGAAACTTGGTTTAGAGTATGAGGTGTGGAGGGACCGAGTCGCTAGGGGCACGTGCATGAACAGTGGCAACTATGGCCACACGTCCCGAATGTGCCGAGGCAAGAAAGTCCTAATGAGGGTAGCCTCTCCGACGGTGGTGGGACTATCTTCAAACCCTGGCAGTGCTTCTGCGAGCACTTCGCAGGGAAACAGCTCGGGCCAGTAGGAGTTTTAGCCGCTCTTACTCGTGCTGAAGGGTTGCCTTCCCCACTTCAGCCATTGGCCAGGGCTAGTGACCCACGTATCGCCCCGCAGACACATTCAGACCCACTGACGCTCTGTTCGAGAGATGTGTTTGAGGCCCTAGAAGAGTTAGAGACTGAGTGGTCAGGAAAGGACCCAGAGACTCTTGGGCAATGATCAGTAGAGGTCCAAAGGGTGAACATTTCGTGGTAGAGGTTAATGTAGGTGGCCGCAAAGTTGATTCCTTCGCAGATATAGGCTCTACATGAAACTTCATCAGTCGTGCTTGTGTGGATAGACTGCGCTTAGGGGACCAAGTGCAACGGCTCAGCAGAACTGTAGCATCTACGCTAGCCAACAAGCACCAAATAATTGTTAAAGATTATGTGAAGGACGTAGTCTATTCCTTCTCTTATGGAGGAGGGGAAGGGAGACATAAAATCTCATTCGTTGTCAGCGACGAACTGCCCTTTGATATGCTACTAGGCATGTACTACGTCGAGGTCGCGCAGCCTCATTTTGACTGGGATAGGAAGGTGTTGATACACAAGTTGCCAAATGGTAGGACAGTTAGACTGCAGAAGTATAAGGCTAGCAATCTAGTGGAGAACTACAACTGCATGTGTGCTTCCTCTTTCTATAACTACTACAAGCAGAATCGCGAGGAGAGCATGTATTTAGTTTTTGTCTCTGAGAAAGGGGAGGCCGTTAAAACACCCCCAGAGACAGAATCAGTCGTCGCAACATATTCAGACCTTTTTGAGGAGCCCACAGGCGTGGTAGAAAGGGAGGTGGTCCATGCAATAGAGGTTGTTCCAGGTAGTAAGGTACCTAGAGGACGAATCTATAGGATGTCTCCTGCGGAGTTGGATGAGCTCCGCAGCCAGCTCAAGGAGCTCACAGAAAAGGGATGGATTCGGCCTAGTACCTCCCCTTACAGTGCGCAAGTCTTATTTGTCCCAAAGAAGGGAGGTACCCTGAGGATGTGCATTGAATATAGGGGCCTCAATGCCATCACCATTAAGAACGTGGAGCCCCTACCCCACATCGACGACCTCTTGGATAGAGTGTACGGATGTCGGTACTTCACCAAGATAGATCTGAAGTCCGGATACCATCAAATTGCCATTAGACTTGAGGACCAGCACAAAACCGCATTTCAGACCAGGTACGGTCTGTACGAGTTTGTGGTGATGCCCTTTGGCGTATGCAATGCACCTGGTACTTTCCAGCACGCGATGAACAAGATATTTCGTGATTACTTAGACAAGTTTATCGTTGTGTACCTCGACGATATTCTTATCTTTACTAGGACTGTAGAGGAGCACGCTGAGCATTTGAAAATAGTTCTAGGTCTCCTAAGACAGCACCAGTACAAGGTTAACTTGGGGAAATGCGAGTTCGGTCGCACCAAGATCTTGTACTTGGGTCATGAAATCTCAGTGGATGGATTGAGGCCGGATGATGCTAAGGTGGCTAGCATACGTGACTGGCCCAAACCTCAAACTGTTACTGAGGTCGGATCGTTTTTGGGGATGACGGGCTACTATCGTCCGTTTGTAAAAAACTATAGTACTATAGCTTCCCCATTAACAAATCTAACTCGACTTGACACCCCTTGGGAGTGGACTGAAGAGTGTGAGGCGGCCTTCAAGAAACTGAAGAACGCTCTGACTGACTATGAAGTCCTCAAACTTCCTGATTCTGATAAAGCCTTTGTTGTGACCACAGACGCCAACCAATATGACATAGGTGTGGTCTTTGCACAAAAGGAGGGGCCAAAGTTTAGACCGATGGAGTATATGAGCAAAAAGATGCCATCGCAGAAACTAGCCAGGTCTACTTATGAACGTGATCTCTATGCCCTGTACCGAGCGCTGGTCTAGTCAAGACACTATCTTCTTGGCAGATTTTTCTATGTAAGATCTGACCGTGAGACCTTGAGCTGGATCAAAACACAGTCGGTACTCTCAGACACACTCAAAAGATGGATACAAGTGATAGACATGTATGACTATCAACTTGATGCTATCAAAGGAGAGTTCAACAAGGTGGCGGATGCACTATCTCGACGGGCAGATTACCTGGGCGCGCTAGTAGCTGAATTTGGCATATCTAATGATCTGACTCGATCGTTGGTGGAAGCCTATCAGCAAGATCCAGTTATGTCAGAGATCATTCGTAAATCCCAAGCAAAGGACAAAGTGACTTTGGATGAATTTACAATGGTGGATTGCTTGCTGTTTCTTGAAAAGGCAAGGAATAAAAGATTGTGTGTGCCTAATAGAGAGTCTTTGCGTAGTTTGTTTCTAGGTGAGTGTCACGATGCAACTGGACATTTTGGTTATAAAAAGTCTTTAGCTAACCTAGTGCAGAAATTTTGGTGGCCCACTATGATGCAAGATGCGGAAAAGTACGTTGAAACTTGCCAGGTTTGCCAAAGGGACAAACCTAGGACTCAGGCTCCGCTTGGGCTTATCAAGCCCTTGCCGATTCTTGAAGGTTCTGACCATAGTGTGTCCATGGACTTCATGGATACTCTCGTGACCAGTAAGTCTGGAAAAAGGCACATCTTGGTGATAGTGGACCGCTTTACTAAGTTTGCAAGACTTATCGCTATGCCGGAAACTGCTAAAACTGACTATATCATCAAACTGTTTCTGGATAACTGGGTCAGTGATTTTGGACTACCTACGTCAATTGTAAGTTACAGGGATGTAAGGTTTACCAGCGAACTATGGCAGGCGACAACTGAACAGATGGGTACCAAGCTCCAAATGACGTCAGGGAACCACCCCGAGTCAAATGGCCAGGCAGAACAGATGAACCAGGTAGTACAATACCTGCTTCGGCATTATATTAAGCCAAGTGAGGATACCTGGGACGAGAAGTTACCTCTCGTCGCCAGCTTGTACAAAAATGCAGTGCACAGTACTACTGGTATGACTCCCAACCAGCTGCACCTTGGTTGGAAGCCCAGAAATGCACTTGACTTTCCGCTACCAGAAAGGCAACCCACTGCAGCACCTGGCAGCATAGAGTTTGCTGTTAATTATGAACAGATGCTGCAGCAGGCCGCTGAACATATTAGGAAGTCTCAGGATGCTATGATCGCATCTGAGAATAAACATAGACGGCCCTCTAACTTTCAGGTAGGTGATAGAATCTGGGTAAAGTCATCTAAACTAGGCCAGGAGTTGGGGATTTCACGTAAACTGATGCCACATTACTTTGGGCCCTGGGAGATCTTAGACATTGTAGGGGATCAACCGGATGGGCCTTCATACGTGATTCGCATTCCTACACACTTGCGTACTTACCCTGTTTTCCATGCATCCAAGTTGGCACCTTTCGCTGCCACAGATCAGTTTCCCTCTAGGAGATCAATGCTGCCCCCAACCATGGACGAACACGTGGACATTGACGATATCATCGAGCACAAGTTGATGCCTGTGCCCAAACCTCCAGGAAGGGGATGACTGCCAAAGCCACAAATGCAATAGCGAGTGTAGTTTAGACATCACAATGATCCTCAAGAAGACCGGTGGTTCACAAGACAGGAATTAATGAAGACTGCTCCTGAAATTATCTCAAGTTATGAAAGAAAGCTGAAAGGGAAGCAGCCTGTTGTATAAGGACTTCTCTGAGGACTATCGAAGAAAAGGAGAAGGGAATCCAAGGATCTGGGTCCTCCGCAGGCCTAAGGGGCCCCTGCTACAAATGTGCCCGCCCTAAGTGAAGGCGGGCCTAACAAATCACGAGAGGCTCTTGGCTGTCAATTTCGTATTTGGGGCCCGGGCAGTTTCGTCGTGCGAGTTGGTTGAAGGAAAACACAAGTCGAGCAGCATGGAAAACCCTAGGCCTTCTAGGCCTTTCCGAAAGCACAGGCCTTGGGCGAGATTTGCAGCCTCATACACAGACAGTAGGCCCAACCGAATGAGGCCCAGTAGCTGCACCAGAGGCGCAACACCTTAGGGCCTACCGGAAGCTTCTAGGCCCAGGCTCAGGGCAGCCAGGCGGCGAAGCCAGGCCAGCTCTTTTCCATATAGGAAAGAGCTCGCTGGCTGGCAGCTCATTCGGACACTCGCATGTTGGCGGCAACGCTGCTGGAGCTGAAGCTCGTGGGCTGCTGCTAGCGCCGAGAGGCGAGGTGCTAGCACATGCGGTCGTGTAGGGAGCAGGGCGCTGCTGAGGGCAGCGCCATAGCCCAACCTCCATAGCTGGCGGGCTTGGATGTACAGTGATGCGCGGGGGTGGTCTTTGGGTGTTCAACAAGGGAAGACGTGGGAGAGAGTTAGGGGAGAGAGAGAAGGATGATGATGATGTGAGGGCACATACTTGGTATTGGCGGTGGTTTTGCATGGGCGACATCTTCAAGTACTTCGGAGGCTGCTGACGTCAACAGTTGCATTGTGAATTAGTAGGCTAGTAGTAGTTGTGTAGGGAGTAGGCTGGGCGCCGAGCACCAACTAGGGAGATAGGGACCGGATACATATGTTGGTGGTGGCGAGAGCAAGCTCTCATTGACATTGACTTTCAGTGGAACTATTCTCCATTGGTGTCATATTGGTGTGCAAGGCCACTTTTTGAACACTGTGATACGATGTAACTTTCAATGTGATTGTGCAATCTGAATATTGTCATCTCGCTTCTGTTCATTTTCCTTACAATTATTTTTCAGAATTTTAAAACAAAGTAGTAGTCAACTCTATTTGTTTTTGGTTTAAATACTAGGTTACCAGCCGGGCCGCCCGGGTCCCGGGTGGCCAGCCCGTGCAAGGACCAAGGAAGGTCCCAACAAAAGAAACAAAAAAAAAAAATCCAAAAAATCTAAAGAAAAACTATGTTATGCAGAAAAATAAACTGAATAACTTTTGCCTCAGGGTCACATCGAAATTCTTCACCAAATTTAGAATAAAAAATAACATTTAGAAAGTAGTCAACTTCGTTTTTTTTGGTTTGCCTTTTGAGCTTTGAGCAGGTTAGCACGGACACGCTCGATATCCACTCGATAACGCCTGGTGAAGTCTGCGGTTCCAGATGTCAGTGTAGGAGTAGCCTTATCAATGATGTCATCGAGAGGCTGACGTGGCTCACGACCCCAATGTAACCGGTAGGGTGTCAAACCAGTGGAGTGTAGAGAAGTGTTATACACCAGCTGTGCACGCCCTAAATGGAGATCCCAGTCCTATTAATCTGGACTGATCACAGGACGCAGCAGCCGGGACAAAATCTGGTTCATCACTTCAGCCTGACCATTGGCTTTAGGATGACGACCAGATGTCATTTCCAAGCTGGAATGGACGTAGTCCTTGTAGTAGGACTGCCACTCATGGCTGCAAAAACGAGGATCTCGATCACTGACAAAAGAGGTGGGTGGTCCATGATGTGTAACCCACCTGTTAGCAAATGCCGCTTGAATGGCAGGGACTCTCGCTTCTCCTGTCAAAGGGATGAAGACAACATACTTGGAGAACTTGTCCACACACACCATAACCTGACGCATACCACGAGGGGTGGTCCTACCCAAATCAGTAAGGTCAATAGACACTGATTGTGCAGGTGCCTCGGGGATGGGAAATGGTTTGAGTAAGCCAAGGGGAGGTTGGCGTATGACCTTATTTGTTTCGCACAACTCACAAGTGTCAACATAATGTAGCATGTCACTCATCTCTTTCCAAATGAACCTGTGCGTCAGGGCCGCGTATGATTTGAGGGCTCCAAAGTGACCACGAGCATCATAACACGCTGACATCAGGAGTGTTCTTAACTTGCGATCCTGGGGAATACATAGACGTTCTTCACCTCTGCCGCAGGTGTATAACAAATCTGAAACCAGAGTATAGCCTGGTTCAGAGACAGGATCATCTTGTAGGTTCCTCACTATGGGCCCAAAAATTGGGACCTGGGGCAGCAACCGGTCAATGGTCTTACGAGTCTTCTCCCTAAAAGAGTGAGTGAAGGAGATCAAGAAGACATCGTCTGGCCTACGAGAAAGGGTGTCTGCCACTTTGTTGTAGCAACCCTTCTTGATAGTTTTTGTGTTTCAATTCAAAGTCAAACAGATCAATGAACTGAAGGTAGCGAGCAAGCTTGTCATTCACCTCTCCCTGGGACTTCATCCATTGAAGGGTGGAGTGATCTGGAAAGATCTTGAAGTGCCTATCCAGGAGGAAGTGCTTCCAATGCTTGAGCGCTGACACAAGAGCATAAAGCTCTTTCTCATAGGTAGAGTCCTGCGGCTTCTTAGCTTTGATCTTCTTGCTCATGTGCTCAGTCGGCTGCAGACCATTCCCACTATCGTGTTGAAGTACCGCCCCTACACCATATTGACAAGCATCAATGGTTAACACAAAAGGCAAGGTAGGGTCAGGTAACTTCAGAATAGGTGCACAAACCAAGGGATCCTTGGGACGTGTAAAAGCCTCCTGACATTCTGATGTCCAAAGAAAGGAACTGTCTTTCTTTGTGAGGTCAGTCAGGGGTGCTGCAATGGAAGAGAAGTTCTTAATAAACTTCCTGTAATACGATGCAAGACCCAAGAAAAACCGGACGTCACGAACGTTCACAGGCTTCGGCCAGTCCCAAACCTCAACAACTTTCGTTGCCTCAGGAGCCAACCCCTCTCCAAAAATGACATGACCAAGATAGACAACAGAGTTAACTCCAAAAGAGGATTTTTCTCTGCTGATCTTGTACTCATTATCATGTAAGGTCTGGAGGACCAGAGCCAGATGTTGCGCATGCTCCAGGACCGAATGGCTGAATATCAGGATATCATCTAGATAGACAATTACAAGCTTATCCAGGTAAGTCCTGAGTATGTGATGCATCTCTGTTTGGGAAAGTGC